GACCGCCACCGTGGCTTTCCGGGGCTCGGCCGCGAGGGAAGGTGCTCGGGACACGCCGTGCCGCCGCCTACGGGGGACGCCACGCCAGCAGGGCAGCTCCCGAGGCTCACCGGTACCCTCTGCCGCCGGCCGGCACCAGCTTGCTTTGTTTTCAAACCCGTCTCACGGGAAAGGAGTTCGGCTTCCCTCAGCACTCACCCTCGGGGAAGGGAGAGGTTCAAACCGCCCGAAGGCAGGCGGCCGGCCAGGGCTGCCGCCCACCTCAGCCCGGCATGGCTTCCACAGGCCCTGGCCCCCTCCGTGCAGGGGCGAGGGCTGCCGCAGGACACCGGGCCTGGAGTTGGCTTCAAAGGAACTCCCACAAATTTGTCAAACTGTAAAAAGAGCTCTAAAAAAATTGCTTTGGGTGGTTAACTTGTGTCAAATTTCAACAGACAGGGAAAATAAACACCTTTGTGCGCTGTGACAAGTCAGGCTGACAGGATTACAGAAGCAAGGAAGAGCCCGAGTACTGAACAATTACCAAACAGCACACACTAAACTTGAAAATTAAACCAAGTTTTTATTCAAAGCGTCTATTAAAATGACAGCACATCCACTCTTTTGCTGTTAGGTCATGCCAAACTACCACTTAATCTTTCAAAGCACCGAACACTTCAGGTTTTTTGTATGTAATCCCTTCTTAATAAAACAAAAAGCAGTCTTCCACATTTCAATTTTTTTTTTAACTTAGTATTTTACCCTAAACTTGTCATGACACAAAACTGCTTCAGCTGTCTGAACTTTGTCTACAGCCAAGTACAATTCACTGTACTTGTCATACTTGAAGAAATATTCTGTGGCTTGCCCGAAGCATTACAGCTGACTGGGAAAAAAAAAATTTAAAAAAAAACCCTAAAACAATCCTAATGAATTAAGTGTCAACTCCAGTCTGCAACTGGCTGGTAATTAGTCTTGTGCCCTGTGAAATACTGCTCAGGAGCAATTCTGAGTTACGACTCAGAAGTACAACAGATTTACGCTCAGGGCTCATTTTGGGATCAGACTATTTGCATGCAGTCAACTGAACAGCCAAAACCATGTAACTTATTTGAGAAACTCCAAACCTACATACGCAAATTACCAGTTTTACATAGGCTAAGAAGCCTAGAACGACTACAGTGTTTCATATTTTTAAGCCTAAAAGACTTAAAACAAAACCAAATGAGCCTGATGTCAGCTAAGTTTAGGAGCTGAAAGCAAAAGTTAAACCGTATCACTGGTGCATTCAATTAAAGTGTTTTTTTTTTGTTTTAATAATTCAATTACTCTTAAGTGCATCAATACATGATTTAAACAAACTGGGTTAATGAGATTTTCAACCACAACAGGTTATCAATTATCAGAGAACATAATCCAACACTTGTAGCTTCTGGTGTAAAATCACGCTACTTTTCTGGAACAGCTGTACACATCTGGTCAGTCTATATCAAGTGATTGATAAAATGATTTCTTCCTCATGTTTAAGTGAGAGGGAAAGTGGCTTCCCTCATCTGAATTTCCTGACCTTCAATGAAAGGAAGGAGTTCAGTAAATACAAATTATCAATATCCCCTAAAGCAGTAGCTTAACAAAAAACAAACAAATCCACACAACAAAAAGTCCAATCTGAAAACAAATTTTCTTTAGCATATTAGGAATCTCTGGTTGCCTTCAAAGCAAAATACAGAAAAAGACCACCATGAGACAATGCTATTTCAAAGTATACAACACTCATGAAGTGACAAGATAGCCTGCTAAACATTTTATATCAGCATCTGAGTACTAGGCAGCGTTCTGTAACTTCACTTATTTGGGAAATACATGAAATCACACTGTTAACACACTTGTAACTATCTTTGGAAGCCTATTTTCTAGTTGTACGGTGGATACTTTTCTGCAGTGTTTAATTGATAGCTGTGCTACAGTTAGTGAACACAAAATTGGCATGTTATCCTGAAGTAAAGCAATAAGGTGGCTTTATGCATGGAAAGTACAGAGGCTTCTATTTGCTAATAATCATATAAAAGCAATACTTTAAAACTTAGTGTTTGCTAGTATAAGAT